ATGATGTGGTGGAAAAAGCGGGTGCGGGAGGGGCCGGGCAGGGGCTGGTGGTGGGGGTGGAGGAGTCGATCGTGGTGAAGCATGCGAGAGAGGAGGTCAGCAAGGGGCATGTTGGGTTCGTGGGCGAGGGCGGTTGCAAGGTCTTTGTGGCATACTCGTTTGATGCGGGAGATGAACACAAAGTCGGGAATGACGGTGTGGGGGAGGTGGTGGCGGAGGGAGTGAGAGCACACACACACACTCACTCAACTCGACACGGACTCGACACGACTCGGCGGACGCAAACACAAAGTGGCAAAGTCGCAATCTTGGATTCCGAACACAATGTCGCAACAAGTCACACTGAAGCACAAGCACTGAGGCCGAAAACTAAGATGTCGAACTCAGCTCGAGTTCAGTCTTAAGTATCGGACTCAAGTTGAGTCTCGAGGGCAAAGTGCAATTTGCCTCGGGACTGAACTGAAAATCGAAGGTTTGAGCCTGGGCGCCAGAATGCCAGATGGTGCCAAGTATCGAAATCTGAAAATGCCTGAGGAGGGATTTGAGAACGGGCGCCAACTGCAGAGGGCGCCGACAGTCAGGCACGAGAGATCACAGACTCAAAAATGAAATAGCAGCCTGGCACGTGGTAACCCGCGGATCAGGGATCGAGCCCTGGCTGAGTCCGTAACAGAGCTCGTCCAACTCGGCCGGAGCCATCCTATAGATTCTCCCTTTGGGTATTTTGCTCCTAGGGATGATCTCTACGACATGGACAACCTCCCTCTCTACGACACTTGTAGGCTCCTCGAACACATCAGGGTACTTAGCGACGACACTTTCTACGTCTGGGGGTGTTTTAACGGCCTCCCCTTTTGCAGAGACAAAGACCAAGTACATACCCTCCTCTTGGTTCTGTTTAAAATAATTATAAAAGGTCGATGCGCACAAACACCTATAGGAGTCGATCAACCTAGTAGCTTTATCCTTAGCTATTCTAACGGCCTCCCATTAGGCAATTCGTGCTTTAACACTTTCTTGTCCCAGTCGAACTGGGCTTGGTAACCTCGAGGTAATACATACCTAACAACATGTCAAACGGTAGGTCATCACTAAGCAGGAACAAAATCTTATGTATCAGTTCCCCTCCTGGATTGGAGAAAGTGCAGACCACGTCCTTGACGTAGTCCTCTACCAACATGCGCTCTTTGTTGGCCAGAGTAGATGCTACCGGTCTACTTAGGCGCTGCACCGGAGATCAGAGAGTCAAAAATGAAATAGCAACCTGGCGAGTGGTAACCCGCGGATCAGGGATTGAGCCCTGGCTGAGTCCGTAATAGAGCTCGTCCAACTCGGTCGGAGCCATCTAGACGCTACCGGTCTACTTAGGCGTTGCACCCGGTCTTGTAGGCGCAGTCTCTCAACGCTGTCGCGACTTATAAAGTTTCGAGTGGAGCCGATGTCTACAAAGGCCCCGCATTTGCGGTCCCCTACACCAACTTCCACAACGAAATGTTCCCCTCTAGGACCTCTACTTAGTGCCACCCAAGACTCACGAGGGTCCCTTGCCGACCACTCATTTTGTAGGTCCTCTAAGGCCTCAGACACATCCAACGAGCAGAGTATTGTTGGGTCAGGATGCATATGCGGGGTGACTAAGGAGTCAATAGCTTTGGCCAACTCTTGAAACGGGGAGGATACATCACCCACTTCAACGAGAGTAGCAACAACTATAACTTCTACTGACCCTATGTGTTTCCTGAGCCGGAACTCGTCGAGGCCCCACTCTGGGAAGAAGGAACCCCACCTTTAGGTGGTATCTTCTGCGGGACCTTTGCATTCTTACATTTGAACTATTGATGGCCATATTCGCCACAGTTAATGCAAGCACCTTGTTGGTAACGATCCCGCCACACATCTTGATCCAAACCCGCTCCAACCCATGTCGCTATCTTGTGCAGGTTTGGGGTTTGCCCCTGACTCCTCTGCTGTCCATTCTTGCTGCAGCCAGCTGCCTTGCCCTTAACTACGGCAGCAAGGTTGTTACCCTCAGCATCATCCTCGTCATCTATCTCTGAACCTTCCACAAGATCTGAGAAATCTTCGATCTCAGTCTTAGTACCATTGGCCTCGACCATCATCAACCGACTCCCTTTCTTCTTCCACTCTTGTGTACTCTTCTTCTTTCTCCTGTCCATATAGGGTGTCTGAGCACCACCTAGCGTAGCCTCTAAGTCTAAAGCCTTCTTGCTAAAGGTCTCAAATGTGTGATACTCTAGCCAAGCTTCGCTGGCTAACAAGTTCTTGATGTTTGTGGGAAGACACCTTAGGAACATGATCAACAAAACCTAAGGATTGTATTCAACCCCGGGGACGACAATCAATCGCTCTACAACAGAAGTGAGCTCGTGCACAGACTTGTACTTTTTAGTATCAAGTTTCAGCAACCCATCAGTTGCAATATGTGCCTGTTGTGGGTTGTGCTATCGCGCTTCCACTAAATCCATAAGGCTCTCTAGGGTATGGGTCTTAGCCCAATCACCCATATTCCTGCCGAACCCCTTGGAAAAAACCAATCCATTTAGCCAACGAGTTGCCGATCCCTCTAAATAGGATGCAGCAATTATCACTTCCTCCTCCACCAACGTCCTCTTTGTCCTCACCCACGTCAACATGCTCTCATCATCATACATACATTCGTTGCCGCCATGCCTTCCAGAGGCCAGCCTCTCTACCTGGGCCCGCTACTTCAAGCCAGCGCCAATGTATCCTTACTGCACAGAAGCATCGTCAGCGACCAAGTAACAATGTCGCTAGCGCTAGATAAGCGACGATCACTAACCAGCTCCGATACCAAATTGCAAGGAATATGAGTGTGAACGTTATACAGAAAACCAAGTTCCGAAATCACACAGATGTCCAAGTAGTCGTGTACAAGCAGAGAGCACAAATGCACCGATACCCCATCCAAATAAGAGCAATACAATGAAGTAATGAGCCAATGTTCAAGCCCTCAGGCCATACCAACACAACATCCAAAGTCGCTCCTCTCTGTCTGGTGCTCAGCACCCAGCCTACACTACTTGACTATCCTACCTACATCAGCATTCTTGCAACAGGCTCACTTCGACTCTCGAAGACCAATGTACATGACGTCAACACCATAGTCGACCTCTTACATGTACCAGGTACGTATCTCCTCTACCATTATCAGACCTTGTCCACCCACACTCGCCTCCTTCCTGAAGACCACCGATCGCCCTCTTACCCCCTAGCGCCTTGCAGCCCGGCTATGGCTGCTTGTGCTCCGCTGCCCAGCAGCGCCCCTCTTCACCACACATGCGCCCGCACGCGCTCTTGGCCTTAGCGCAGCATGCAGCCTCTAACCCAGCAGCGCAACAGCGTGACCGCGTTGCCTGCGTGGGCCAGAATGCCTAGGCCCTAGCTGTCCTCCTTCCTATATGGAAGTGGCAGCCCCTGTATGGCTACGTGTGGCCTGCCTGGAAGCTTCCAGTAGCTTCCGGTTGGGCCCCAGTGCCTGCGCCCAGACCCAAGGCCCTTTACAGATTAAGAACGGCCTAAGTCTCCAGACTTGGGCCGTTTGCTCCATGTGTACAGGACCCGGGGTAGGTACGTCGACAGTGCTGCCTTTGTGTAGGCCTGTGGCCACTTCGTGATGTATTGGTCGTGCATTGTGTGTATGTGCCCAGACGCAACTCCCAAGGCCTGGGCCAACTATATATCGCAGCTTAGTGAGGCTCATGCGTCCACTCAACCAACTGGCAGGCTGAAAAAGTCTGAGTACCCACACATGAAAATGTCGAATTTTGGCCTCTAGTGAATATTCTAGGGCGGGCACTCGGCTTGCTGGGGGCCTCTGCCCAAAACATGTGTATGTATGACAGGGGCCCCGTGAGGGCTCGTTCCTTGCAAAATACTGCCTAATACACTAAAGAAAGACAATCTTAACCTAAACTTAAGCAGAACTGATTCAAACAGATTTGTGAACTCTGGAAGCTTGAAACGCCTAGACGGGTTTCCCACCACGCACCCCTGGATCTTCAATGGCATCAACATTCAATGAACCTGCAATCAGACTCGCTTTCTTTTCCACTCTGCACTCATGCAAACAGATGGTGAGACACACTGGCGCACAACGCCCACTCAAAGCTTGGAGATATGGAAGTCGTTAGCACACTTCAGATACCGCTTTAACAAGTTATGGCGCATCAGCGCCTGTACACACCAACTCCCGTCTCCCTCTTCAACACCACTGTTCGCTTTTACTCAACTCCGGATCACCCTGGATATCCCACACGCATACACACACCCTCGTACACACTCACTCGCCTATCAGCTATGGCGGCTATGGCCGCTGTCCCTCTATGGCTACATCTATCTCCTTCAAGCCCACTTCGTCTTCGGGCCCTCTGCAGACCACCTCGCACAAGTCGCTCAGACAACGCTTCTGCATGGCTTACGCAGGAATCAATGAATGGCTGGGCGATGCCTCTTGATTTATACTTTTGTAAATCGTTGATCTGCCCCTTTCCCATGCCCCTGGTGCACACAGTCCCACACGATACTTGCTGGACTGGACTGTGACTGACTTGGACCGGTACTGCTGACTGCATGGGTTTGCACTGCCCACTCGATGCAGTTGCACTGCCGACGTACCGCAGTTGGGCTCACCACTTGCCCGGTTGCCTCTGTCTAAACGCGAGCAAACTTCGAAAGGCCACTTCCGGACCTTCCGGAAGTCTGTGGGCTTGCCCTTTCGAACACTGTAGCAACTACGACCTTGACCCTTCAGGACAGTAGCAGCTACGACCTTGACCTCTCAGAACAGCTACAACTACGACTTCTAGAGCTCACTAAGACCTCTATCCGACAGGTCTACAGATCGAACACCGACAACCTACGGACCTACGACAACCTACCAACTGTTGCGAACACACAGGTCACGGGTTCAACTCTCAGGGTTGACACAGAGGTCACCATAAATAGGGTCTTGCGCATACGTTTGTCTTACTTCCTCTTGCAGGTTTGTCCTCATATCCATATAGTGAGCTATAGCTCCAAAGTAATCTGATCTCCTACTTAGAGCATTTGCAACTACATTATACTTGCCTTTAACCGGTTTGAGCTCAAAGTCATATTGATCTATCTCAGCGGCCCACCTAGTTAGCTCAGGTGTCATCTTAGCCTGCGTTTTCAGCCACCTAAGAGTCCCGTGGTCTGAATAAACTTTGAAGTGCCTCCCAAGTAGATAGTGCTTCCAGTGCTCTAAAGCCTGCCTGAGAGCGTAGAGTTCCCTCTCGTAAGTCGAGGTAGCTACTTTCTCTGATGGCATCCTCGCTGACATGAACTCAACGGGTTTGTAGCCATTGCCGTCATCCTGCCGCAACACGGCGCCTATACCATACTGACTTGCGTCCGTGGTGACGACAAATGGCAAGGAAGGATCTGCCACCTTGAGGACAGGGTACTTTATCAACGCTCGCTTTAACTTCTTAAGAGCGGATGTACAATCTTTGTCCCACTTCCAGATTGCATCTTTCTTGAGCAACCTGCGAAGGGAAGCGGCGATAGTGGAGAAGTTCCTCACGAACTTCCTATAATAATTAGCTAGGCCTAAGAACGACCGCAATTTTGTCATTGTGCGGGCCGTCGACCAATTTCTAATCGCTGCTATCTTGCTATCCTCATGCTTAATGCCATCTCCATCTAAGACGTGGCCCAAGTACAAGACTTGTGTCTTGGCCTACTCACACTTCTTCGCATTGATCTTGAAGTTAGTCTCTCTCAACTTCACCAAGACCTGCCTTAAATGACCCTGATGCTCTTGGAGGGTCTTACTGAAAACTAGTATATCATCTAAGTACACTACGACGAATCTATCTAACCAAGGCCTAAACACATCATTCATGCAGCGCTGGAATATGGTTGGCGCATTGGTCAGTCCAAACGGCATCACGATGAATTCGTAGTGCCCATATCTAGTCCGGAAAGCAGTCTTGTACTGGTCATCAGGATAAACTTTTATCTGATGGTATCCGGACTTCAAATCTATCTTTGAGAAATACCTACAGCCCTGCACCCGATCTAGGAGATCGTCTATCCTGGGCAGCAGCTCAACATTCTTCGCTGCGATGGCATTCAGACTCCTATAATCGATACACATGCGAACTCTCCCTCCTTTTCGGGGACAAACAAAGCTGGTGCTCCGAAAGAAGACGAACTGGGCCTAATCCACCCCTTTTCGAGGAGTTCGTCTAGTTGCTAACGCAACTCCTCTAACTCCCTTGGGAACATCCTGTAAACTGCACCCTTAGGAGTCCTTCTGCCAGGCTCTATCTCAATGCGGTGCTGGATTGGCCACGGGGGTGTTGGCGGCTCTGCCAAATCTTTAAACTCTTCCATCAACTTGGCAATAGCTGGGTCTATTGGCTTCTCTTCAGTAGGCTCAGTGACAGGCCTCACGTTGTAGGGCCAAACCCCGATAGACTTTCGAGCCTTGATCGACCCCACTGTGGGTCCCAAACGGCTCGGCCCGCCCACGCTCATGCTCAGGGCGCGGGCCATTCGTCCCAGGGTCACCCCCACCTAGTGCTTTGAGATGGATGGGGGTGGGCCATCGCGCGAGAGAGCTTTGACATTGGGCATGTAGCTCACCCCTCACGCCGGGTGGTAGTCTTGCTCGTCATTCCACAGTGCTGAATTTTTTTTGGATTCTTGGTTATGTTCTCAGGCAATTGCTCTTTCCAATACGCAGGCAAGGGTTCTTTGAGATTTTCTCCTCTCTTGTGCGTAGGCTAAGCGTCATCCTTAGGCCGCACACCATTTCCCTAAGCATTGTGATCCTATGGAGTCACCGGGGTGCGGCGAGGCCGTCCTCCCCCTCGCCTCTAGGCACCCATCCGGTCGCCTACATTTCATTCACTCCTATTGACGCAGGCCCCTTAGTCCTTTCGGGGCCTTCACATGCATGCACACACAACTTCACATTTCCCTTGGCAAGATTGCACTTCATTCTCTCATTTGCACTCCAAGTCTCAAACGCAAAGGTCATTTTCATGGGTTGGTTTGTGCTAAGGGTCCCGTAGCCCCTATGCCCCTCTTCCCTTCTCATTTGCCGCCCGGTTCCTCCCGGTCCTATTCCGCTCAAAGCATCCCTAGCCATCACTTACTTGAACAATCCCACACAAAGCAAAGATCCGTATAATCCGCCATTGGGGGCCAACACATAGCCCTTCCCACATGCCTATCTTTCCATGCTCTTTGGCTGCTCTTTGTTCCCTTTCTTCTGCTCAATCAGCCCATCCTCTTCTCATAGTCATGCAGTCGGGAAAATGGTTGAGTCAAACTGACCTTTCTTCAACTTATACTTTCTCCCGGATTCCGCCTTTTCCCCACTCTTTCAAACGTTATTTCCTTTGCCTTCTTGGTGGCACAAGGGACCGGCTACCTTCCCCTTGCCCTCTTTCTCCACCAAGTGAGGTCTAATTTCTTTTACCGTTCGCACCCTGGCAATGTAACAAGTGAGGGGAGAAGGGTTAGTCGTATGCCAAGTGAGGGGAAGGGAGAAAGGGGGCAAGATGAAGAGGGGGAGAGAGAAAAAAAGTGGGAGAGAGAGAGAGAGAGAGAGAGAGAGAGAAGAATTCTATTCCTAATCAAATCATCTCCCCGTAGTAGTAGCCAAATGTCGGTCACCCATCCCATAGTGAAGGATCAACTAAGTATGAATTGGAATACTACAATGCACATGTAGTTGACAATGAGAAGCTTGAACTAGTGAAAGGCACATGCACATGGAGAAAAGATCAGCTAAGTATGAACCGGAACACTACAACACTCACGATCTTGACAATGAGAAGATTGAACTAGTGAAAAGCACATGCATATGGAGAAAAAATCAACTAAGTATGAACCGAAACATCACGACACTCACGAACTTGACAATGGGAAGATTAAACCAATGAAAAGCACATGCTCATGGAGGAGAGATCAACTAAGTATGAACCGGAACATCACCACACACATGAACTTGACAATGGGAAGATTGAACTAATGAAGAGCACGCACATAGGGGAAAGATCAACTAAGTATGAATCGACACATCACAACATACATGAACTAGACAATGAGAAGACTGAACTATTGAAAGGCACATGCACATGGAGAAAAGATCAACTAAGTATGGACCGGAACATCACAACACTCACGAACTAGACAATGGAAGATTGAACCAATGAAAAGCATATGCACATGGAGGAGAGATCAACTAAGTATGAACCGGAACATCACAACACACATGAACTTGACAACGGAAAGATTGAACTAGTGAAGGGCACATGCACATAGAAGAAAGATCAACTAAGTATGAACCGGAACACTACAACACACATGAACTTGACAATGAGAAGTTTGAACTAATGAAGAGCACATGCACATGTAGGAAGGATCACCTAGGTAGGAACCGGAACACTACAACACACATGAATTTGACAATGAGAAGATTGAACTAGTAAAAAGCACATGCACATGAAGGAAGGATCAACTAAGTATGAACCGGAACATCACAACGCACATGAACTTAACAATGAGAAGATTGAACTAGTGAAAGGTACATGCACATGAAGGAAAGATCAACTAAGTACGAACCGGAACATTACAACACTCACGAACTTGACAATGTGAAAATTGAACTAGTGAAGGGCACATGCACATGGAGGAAAGATCAACTAAGTATGAACTGGGACACTACAACACTCACGAATTTGACAGTGAGAAAGTTGAACCAATGAAAAGCACATGCACATGGAGGAGAGATCAACTAAGTATGAACCGGAACATTACAACGTTCACGAACTTGACAATGCGAAGATTGAACTAATGAAAAGCACATGCATATAGAGGAAAGATCAACTAAGTATGAACCGGAACATCACAACACACATGATCTTGACAATGAGAAGCTAGAACTAGTGAAAGGCACTTGCACATGGAGGAAAGATCAACTAAGCATGAACCGGAACATCATCATGTGAGAGTTGAGCAATGTATGTGTGTGAGACTTGCTCAAACACATGCCCATGGCTCATGTATGCAACCAAGGTTGAAATAGACTGCCATCATGTGAGAGTTGAGCCATGTATGTGAGTGAGACTTGCTCAAACACTTGCCCATGGCTCATGCACGCAACCCAGTTTGAAATGGAATGTCGTTATCTACTATGTGAGTGGAAAGCACAAGCTAGACTAGTCCCAAAACACAAGTCTTGAGCACGAAATCGCTTATGGAAAAATCAGAGTATTTCCTACTAGCATATGGGTGAAAATCAAGACTTACATTATACCAAATCACACGTATTGAGCATGAGATCATCCATAGAGGAATCGGAGCATCACCTACTAGTATGGGAGTGAAAAGCAAGAGTTGAAGTAGCCCATATCACAAGGATTGATCATGAAATCATCCATAGAAGAATCGGAGCATCTCCTACTAGTGTGTGAGTGAAAAGCAAGAGTTGAAGTAGCCCAAATCACAATTATTGAACAAGAGATCATCCATGGAAGAATCGGAGCATCTCCTACTAGTGTGTGAGTGAAATGCAAAAGTTACACTGGGCTATATCACAAGATCTGAGCAAGAGATCATCCATGGAAGAATCAGAGCATCTCCTACTAGCATATGAGTGAAAAGCAAGATCTACACTAGACCAAATTATAAGTATTGAGCATGAGATCATCCATGAAAGAATCGGAGCATCTCCTACTAGCATGTGAGTGAAAAACAAGATCTATACTAGACCAATTCACAGGTATTGAGCATGCGATCATCCATAAAAGAATCGGAGCATCTTCTACTAGCATGTGAGTGAAAATCAAGATCTACACTAGGCTATATCACAAGATTTGAGCAAGAGATCATCCATGGAAGAATCAGAGCATCTCCTATTAGCATGCGAGTGGAAATCAAGAGTTACACTAGGCTATATCACATGTATTGAGCAAGAGATCATCCATGGACGAATCGGAGGATCCCCTACTTAGCATGTAAGTGAAATGCAATAGTTGAAGTAGCCCAAATCACAAGAATTGAACACGAGATCATCCATAGACGAATCGGAGCATCTAAAACTAGCATGTGAGTGAAATGCAAGAGTTGAAGTAACCCAAATCACAAGAATTGAACATGAGATCATCCATAGAAGAATCGAAGCATCTCCTACTAGCATGTGAGTGAAATGCAAGAGTTGAAGTAGCCCAAATCACAAGAATTGAACATGAGATCATCCATGGAAGAATCGAAACATCTCCTACTAGCATGTGAGTGAAAATCAAGAGTTATACTAGGCTATATCACATGTATTGAGCAAGAGATCATCCATGGAAGAATCTGAGGATCTCCTACTAGCATGTAAGTGAAATGCAAGAGTTGAAGTAGGCCAAATCACAGGTACTGAGCATGATACCATCCATGAAGGAATTGGAGCATCACCTACTAGTGTGTGAGTGAAATGCAAGAGTTACACTAGGCTACATCACAAAATTTGAGCAAGAGATCATCCATGGAAGAATCGGAGGATCTCCTACTAACATGTGAGTGAAAAGCAAGATCTACACTAGGCCAAATCACTAGTATTGATCATAAGATCATCCATGAAAGAATCGGAGTATCACCTACTAGTGTGTGAGTG